CTTAATCCAATTAAAAAGTCTCAGGTATAAAAGGATGCATAACAAAAAAAAAAGAAAGCCACAAAAAAATACCAATATGGAAGGTAAATAGAAAAAGAAATACAAGGGAGGGAGAGAGAAAAAAGAAAAGAGACTACTCCCTTAAAAAAAAAAGGAAGGAAATCATTAATACTAAAGCTTTTCCTTTAAAATAAAATGCAAACGTAAAAATTAGACTTCAAAAACAAAAAGAAAGACAAAAACAAGTTCCAAAAGGCCAAAGATCCAAACAGCTATTACAAAAAATAAGCTATTAAGGAGGGGGTTTGTTAAAGTAAGAAATAGCCCAGCTTAAAAAAAGTAAAAAGAGCACACTGCACCTTGCTTGGTTATCCAAGGTTTTTGTTAAAATTTATAACTCTCTTCTCCAGAGTCTTATCACCTTTTTTTTCTATAAACTTCAGCACCAGACTCCAACTATTGATAGAAACCCAGAAGAGCACCTGCAATAATACTCTCCCATGCTCTTCCCTCTATCTTATCAAATAGCAATGTCCTTGAAAAGAAGTCTCAGTTCTTTTTCAGCTTTGTCTGGTCAAAAGAGAAATAGAATATTTCCAAGCCTCTAGTTGGCAGTGTTACAAAGTTTCTTTTGCTTTCACTTTCCCCCTCCTTTTCCAAACAAAATATAATAAGAATAAATGTAAAAAAGAAAAAGATATTTTAAAAAAAATAACTAAAAGGAGTGGGCAAACTTTTTGGCTTGGGGGCCTCATTGACTTTTAAAATTTGACAGACAGGCCGGGTCAGCACAAGATTTTTTGGGAATCGCCTCCCCACCCTTTCCCCACCCTTTCTTCTCCTCCTTCCCCTCCCCTCGGAGGCCCCCTGAGTCAGGAGTTGCTACTGCCAGCGCGGCTCCGTGCGGCTCCAGTCCCGCATTGCCTCGGGAAGGGAAAGGCAAAAAGGAAGAGCCGCGGCGGTGCTTTGCAACGGTAGCAGCAGCACCGGAGGCTCAGGCTCAGCGGCTCCTGGTTTTGCCTTTCCCTTCCCAAGGCAACGTGGGACTGGAGCCGTGCGGAGCTGCGCCGGCGGTAGCAACTCCTGACAGCCCCAGCCGGACACCTGAGTGGTGCCCAGGCAGAACTGCCTGTTGTTGCTGCGGGCGCTGCTGCAAAATAACAAGATACTTTTTTCCTGAGAGGTGCAGTGTCTGCCTCCCTTCATATTCCTTGTGGAGGGACACACATGCCCCGTCACCCCTGCCGCCACTACGTTTGCTCGGCTTCTTCCATGGGGGCACTCTTAAAGTCGACCAATAAGTGGTCCTGGAACATCCGCCCACCTGCTCGGCACCCACCCTCCCGGAGCACGCTTTATTCCTTCTGGAGAACGTGCCTCTTCCAGCCCGGCCTGGCCCGGCCGGCCAGCAGGTGACCACATGTCCTGGGGCTTGTCGCGAGATGCCTGCAGCATGCTCTGTTCTATGTGTCAGGCCCAGCAAGTCCGAGCAGCCGGCGCATAGAACAGGGTGGTGCCGGTCCATTGGAGAAGCGGAGCAAAGCCGGAGATTAGTAGCTGCCTCTTTTGGCGCAGAAAGCTTCCCCCAACCGGCTGGCTGGTCTCCTCCTTCTCTGCCTGTTTGTTCTGTATGGCCGAGGAGGAGGAGACCAGCTGAGAAGCGCGCTGCCAGTTGGGGGCCATGCGGCGCAGGGCAACATGCCACCACCCAGCCCTGGTGAGGGAAAGCAGTGGGCGTTCCCCAGGCGGCAGCCTCAGCCCCACCACCAGGGAAGCGGCTGCCCAGCTCCATGTTGTGTGTGCTATTTTTTGGCCCCCAGTGTGGAGTCTCTTTTGGCCAGCCCCGATTTTTTTTTCAGAGGCGGGCTGTATTAAAATGACCAACGGGCTGGATGTGGCCCGCGGGCCGTAGTTTGCCCACCCCTGTTCTACAAGCTATTGAATCATAAGGTGTACTTAGTGGTTCACACATGACTTCTCCATTTGGCTTTCTTTTTGTAAAATAAATGATGACATGGTGTAATGTGTCATAAGTTATTGGTCATCTGAGGTTCTATTTACCTACTTTTAACAACTAAGGACCACAAAATTTTAAATATGTCCTAATACATAAAACCATAGAACTCAAAGAGGGTGTACTTTCTTTTTCACATGACTGTAATTGGAAGGTGCCAATTTCTTAAACTACCCCATTTAGTGTATTTTAATTGGCCACAGCTTTACAAGGTGTCAGGCCAGCATTCTCTGCTCCCTTATTTAATGGAATTTGCTCAGAGTTAGATATAGAATCTTATGCATGAAAACTGTGTGCTTTGTTACTAAGGTACAGCCTGATCATAGGTGTCCTGGCTAGATATTCGGCTTGGGGATGAGGGAACATGTTTGTAAGACATGACATTAGGAAATATGCTTTATTGACTCTTTGGCATGCAGTGGGTGAATTTCATAGAATGGTAGACAAGGCTAAACTGGAATTAAGTAGCTTGTGATTCAGCACAGGAATTCATCATCTTCCTATGTTGTATAAACCTGATTACTACATTAAGCCATAATATAATTTATTTGATTGTAACATGTAACATGTGGAACAAGACAGCAGTTTAATTTGTTAACCCGCAGCTAGGTGTTAAGTGTGCTGTGCTTCCTCAGTACTGTCTGGTGTGAGTTTTTGATTGTGTTTTTGGATGAGTTTTTAATTTGGTACATTGTACTGTACCTAAGCACATACTCTGTTTTTTCCTTTATAGCACCCACTGGCTCTGGCACTTTCCCTTCCTCATCAGCACTCTCTGCTTACCAGCATCCAGCCTCTTTCAGTGGGCGCAGCTTCCCAGACACTTCATCCCTTACCCTCCAGGATGCTACGTTCAGCCCAATGTCCAGTGGCCTGCTATCCCCCCATGATCCTCTGCTTCACATCAAATCGTCTCAGCCCAGTGTTCCTTCATCCCTCAGCTTTGACCGGCTGGGCAGTACAGTATTGGGTACGGGCTTACCCTCTCAGAGCTCAGCATATCGTAGTGCTCAAGAATCGGCTTCTTGTCACCTCCCCTCCCAGTTCAACCTTTTATCATCCTCACTGGGTCCATCTGATGAGACAACCCAACTTTACAACACCTCAGTCTTTTCCAGTTCTTCTGCCTCCTCCATTGAGTGGGCCATCCCCCGGCAAGATAGTGTGATCAAACATTACCAGAGACCTTCTAGTGCCCAGCCACAGCTGTCTGCTGCCCATTCTCTACAGCATTATCTGAGCTGCGGGGGCAGTTACCAGCAGATGCCTCACCGCTCGAGCCTTTCATGTAGTCCCTTGGGTGAGCAGTCTCCTGCCAGTAGTGAAGGCTCTCAGCAGCAGAAGACCCCCCAGGCCACACGACAAGAGCCCTCTCAAAGCTACCATCCCATTATTCAATCCTCCAGCTATTCTGGTACCACCTCTTCAAAATCCAAGAGTTACTCTGCCTCCCGCCAACCACCCTGTTCTACAGCCATGCCCAAGTGCCAAAGCAACTACAGTTCATCCACACCCAAGCCCAGCTCTGTCACTGCAAGCCAGTCACAGGCCTATTCACCTGGTCAAACTCAGAGTCTCCTTTCCATGAGCCAAACACAGAGTTACTCTGTCAGCCAGCCACAAAATCTCTCTTCAGTTAGCCAGGCCTCACAGGGATTCAGCAGCAACCAGGCCCAGGACCTCACAAGTGTTAGTAAAACTCAGAGTTATTCGACCAATGAGCAAGCGCAGCAGGGCCAAGCTGGGCAGGGAGGACAAAGACTGCAGACTTGTCAAAATCAACCTTACTCTCCTGAGCAGCTGCAAGGCTTGTCATCTGTTGGGTACAGTGTTCAGGCTGAGCCCCATGTTTCTGTCAGCCAGACACCAACATATGTACTGGCTCATTCTCAAAGGATGCCCACAGCTAGCCCATCATTGAGTTACAGCACTAGCCATTCTCCAGCTATGTCAGGGCACAGCCAGTCTATTGGTTACTCCCATGGGCAGAACCTTCCAGATTCAAGTCCTTCCCAGATCATCCGGCCTCTCCAGTCACCTACCACTAACAGGCCCCAGAGTGTGGCATCACCTGGCCAGTCCCAGAAGTATCTCACTTCTGTATTGTCACCTTCATTCATGCAGACGGCTCACAGACAAAGCTACCAGGGTTCTAAGGGTAGGTTAGAGGGAGGATCATCTTACAGTAAAGCCAAGGCCGACTCGGACCTTCTGTCATCTGAGCGGACTGAAGATGAAGAGTTTTTAATCCAGCACTTGCTGCAGTCTCAGAGCCCACCAAGAGTGCCCACATAAGGCATGGTAGAGTGTGAGGAGAGGGCAGGGAAAGGGATGGGCTATGAGTTGAGTAAGACTGAAGAGCGTTATCACTTGCAGAGTGTAATTCGGACGAACTCTAATCTGGACAACCAAAGCCTGGAGATGTCCTTGCAAAACTTAAAGGACAAAAAGAAAGGAGGGAGGCCCAAAGAGTACCCCCACACATGCTCAACTCCAGAGTCTTTGGCCACATCTGTGGTCCATTACAGCCATCAAGCTGGGTCATTCGGCTCTTATGGACAAGACATAAAGAAGTCAGTGGAGCAGCACCTCCAGGGTGGCCACATGGATACTGGCAGTAAGGAAATATCTCAGGCCCATTCTTATTTGCAGAAGACTCCTGATCATGCCTCCCAGCCACATCCCATGGAGTCTCATGGATTGATGGCTGGCCAGCAGGGTGCTACCCTGATGTTGGACTCCCGTCCTGATTTACCATCTCTTTCCCTTCCACAGCAGCAGCAGCAACAGCAACAGCAGCAGTCCCAGCTGCTCCAGTCGGTGCTCACTCACACCCAAACCCAGATGCAGTCTCGTGAGAAGGTTCACACCCCACTGGATGTCCATCTTATGGAGCCTCAGTGCATGCATCAGGCTGAAGCACCCTCGCCGCAGCTTCAGATGCAAGCATTGGAAGCCCACCTCCACCAAGCCCATGTTCATTCTCAGAGCATGGAAGCACAGCTTCTTGAGCTACAGCAGTCCCCTCAGCTCCAAGGCCCACTGCAGCCAGAAAGGATGCAGTCTGAGGGCATGGAAATGATGCCCCGAGGCAACCTTTCCCAGTCCCAAGAGATCCAGGACTTCTTAGAGCCTGAGCTGAGTTTGGAATCCCACCTGGGACAAAGTGGGACAGTGCAGAGTCAACAGCATCTCCTTCCTGATTCCAGTTTGGACCCCGACTCTCAGCAAGTTCCTGAAGGCCAACCTGAGGGCAAGGACCAGTTTGAGAGCCCCAGCCCTCAAGGAGCCAAGCAGCGATTTGTTCCACTCACCTCCATATGCTTCCCAGACTCTTTGTTACAAGATGAAGACCGTAGCTTCTTCCCTGGCATGGAGGACATGTTTGGCCCCCCTCCCTGTGCCGGGGATGAGTCCCCTAAGCCAGACAATGGCATACAGGGTATGGAGAGGGGTGAAGGAATGAAAGGAGGTGGCTATGATATAATGCCTGGTGGACAAGGCTACTGTTAAGTTTGGGAAAAGAGAGGCTGAACCAGAGCATGAGTGCAACAATACTTTATTATAACAATAAAGGGCTGACCATGCTTGCCACGCCTGGAAACTGGCTCGCAGCAATCAGCAACTGGTGGGACCCCGCAGCCTGCTTTTATAGCTGGCTGCTGGGGAGAACCAACCAATGAGTGAAGGGTAGAACGCCCACACAAAGTGAGTGGACCTGAGTGAGAACTCCTAGAGTTCTCAGGACATAACACCCCTTCCCCCCAGATGCGAACACGCATAGTCTTTGAGGTAGACAGGAGGTTTGTGTTGGCGCCCGGAACGGCGCAGCTCTGGAACACTGTCTGTCCGTTCGGGGTCTGCCTGGGAAGGCAGAGCCGGCAAAGTGTCATCAGTATGCCCCTCGGTTCGGGCATGCCCGTGGCTCGTAGGGTTGGTAACTGGGGATGTGCTCCCGTAGACTGGATCGGGCTGGTCAACCGTCTGGGTTCCGCTGTCCGTGTCCGGGCCTTCGGGATCGGCTGTTGGTGTGAACTGGTCGCCGGGCATGATGTGGATGTGGGGCTGCAGATGAGGTCTCCCTTCATCGTGTGACTCTGGATCTCTGCTGGCGAGGGTGCTGAGGCGCCTACGCAGTTGGTCTATGTGCCTTCTCCAGACGCGGCCATCCTCTAGTCTGACCCGATACGACCACGGTCCGGTGATGGCTACGATCTCGCCCGGGATCCACAGGGGGTCTCCAGCGAAGTTCCTCGCGAATACTGGCTCCTGTAAGATAAAATGTCTAACCCCCGATGTGGAAGCGAGGGGAGAGTCAGGGCAGTATTGTGGGTGAAGTCTGTCCAATACAGTCCTCAGGTGCCTGCCCATCAGGAGCTCAGCTGGGGACTTATTGGTGGCTGAGCAAGGAGTTGAGTGCTGGCTCATCAGGAACCGCGAGAGTTTGTGGTGCCAGTCATCCCTGCTGAACCTAGCCAGGGCTTCTTTAGTGGTCCTGACGGCCCTTTCAGCCAATCCGTTACTGGCAGGATGAAATGGGGCTGTGAAAATGTGGCGGATGCCCAGGTTGGCCACGAAACGGCTGAACTCGGTCGATGCGAACTGTGGGCCATTGTCGGAGACAATGGAGTCGGGTAACCCGTGCGTGACGAACAGGCGTGTTAACACGTTGGTGATTGCTAGTGTGGTGGTCGTGGATAGCTGTGCTACGTCAATCCATTTAGAATAGGCGTCCACGACCACTAGGAACATCTTCCCATGCAAGGGGCCAGCCAGGTCGATGTGAATTCTGGACCAAGGAGCGCTGGCGCTTTCCCATCTAGTAGGGGTGGCAATGGGGGGAGCAGGACGGGATTCCTGGCAAATGCTGCAGGAACTTACCCAATTGACAACGTCCTCGTCGAGACCCGGCCACCACACGTAGCTGCGCGCCAATGCCTTCATTCTCACGATGCCAGGGTGTCCCTCGTGCAACGCTTCCAGAACTCGGGTCCGCAGTGAGGTCGGGATGATCACTCGAGTGCCCCATAGTAGACAGCCCTGCAAACTGGACAACTCCTGCATGCGAGTCTTGAAAGGTGTGAATTTGTTTTCAACATTGCCCCCTGGCCACCCCCTCCTCACCCAGTCGAGCACCTGGGCGAGCGTTTGATCTGCCTTGGTTTTAGCAGCAATGTCAAGGGCAGTGATGGGTAGGTCCAACTGGGTGATCTCGAAAATAGCGTGTACAGGAGCAGGGTCTTCAGCCGGAGCCGGCAAGGGGCAGCGACTGAGAGCGTCAGCGTGGGACAGTGTTTTACCCGGGTGGTGTATAAGTCTGTAGGAGTAGGCTGCTAGGAAGAGGGTCCACCTAGTCATCCTAGGGGAAAGGACTTGAGGGGTCTGTTTGTCCCCGGCTAGTAGGCCCAGGAGGGGCTTGTGGTCCGTGACCAGCTCGAAAAAATGGCCAAAAAGAAATTCGTGAAATTTTTTCACGGCTGCAACAGCTGCTAGGGCTTCCTTATCGATCTGGCTGTAATTGCGCTCCGTTGCAGAGAGCGTCCTTGAGAAAAAGGCGATGGGAGCCTCGGTGCCGTTGGGGAGCCTGTGACTTAGTACCGCCCCAATTCCAAAAGGGGATGCGTCTGCTGCCAGCACTAAAGGAAGGTTAGGGTCGAATTGGATAAGTACCGCCTCTGACGTGAGTAGTGATTTGACGGCGTGAAAAGCATGGTCTTCTTTGTGCCCCCAGTGCCACGGTGACTTTTTATCCAGTAATCTGTGTAGGGGTTCAGCTACTGATGCTTTATGGGGCAAGAAGGATGCGTAAAAGTTCAATAGCCCCAAGAAAGCCTGTAGTTCAGTTTTGGAGGTTGGAGTGGGTGCCTCGTGGATTGCCTTAACCTTGGACTCCAGGGGGTGAATGCCAGAGGCGTCAATTTTATAACCCAGAAAGTCCACCTGTCTAGTGGCAATGGCACATTTTTCCTTTTTCAACTTGAGGCCATGCTGTCTGAACCTCTCTAACACTGCTCGAACTCTCTGGAAGAGTTGGGGTCTGTCCCTGGCCGAGACTAAGATGTCGTCGAAGTAGGGTACTACACCAGGGAGGCCCTGCAAAATCCGCTCCATGAGGGATTGAAAAATACCTGGGGCAACACTTACGCCAAACTGGAGACGCTTGCATCGGAAGGCACCCCTGTGAGTGACAATGGTCTGGAGTTCCGCTGTTTGGTTATCAACAGGGAACTGCTGATATGCTTGAGACATGTCCAATTTAGCAAAAATGCTGCCTGGTTCAAATGTGTGTAATAAATGCTGAATGACGGGCACAGGATAAGCGCTAACTTGTAGAAATTTATTGATTGTTGTCTTGTAGTCCGAGCAAATTCTCAGGCTACCGTCTTTTTTGAGGGGTGTGACAATGGGAGTCTCCCATTTGGCGAAATCTGTTGGCTCAATGACCCCTTGTTTTAATAGTTTATCCAATTCAGCATCTAGTTTTGGCCGAATAGCGAATGGGACCCTATGCGGTTTTAGCCTGATTGGGACTGCCTGGGGGTCAACTGAGAATGAGATGGGGGTACCGTTATAACACCCCAGCTCCTCGCTGAATACATCTGAGTAATCAGCGAATAAGGAGTCAGTGTCTGAGGTTGAGACAGCATGGACTCCTGTTAGCCCTAGGCCGAGATGGGGAAACCAATCGAGCCCCAATAAGGTGGGGAGATTGCCGTTAACTACCACTAGAGGTAGGTGACCTTTAAAAGCTTTAAAACTGACAAGGAACTTGCCTCTGCCGATTACAGGAATGGTCTTCCCCTGGTAGTCCTTCAGGCTAAACTGGCATCTCTGGAGCCGGCTAGTGGATAGGCTTGGTTGGAGCCTCTTGAGGGTGTTCCACGAGATAATTGAGAGCGCTGACCCTGTGTCAACCTCCATGCGGCACGGTTTACCTTCTAGGGAAACGGAGAGAGAAATTTTACTAACAGTGTGGCAAGTGTTTTTGGCATGGTGGTGCGTGCGACAGTTCAATACTTGCCTCTGTGGGCCCGATTGCGAGGGGGGGTGCCTTTGTGCTGAGCTTTGTGGGGCTTGGCAGACTCTCGCGATGTGTCCCCTTTTATGACAGTTATTGCAGGTGGCTCCTTTAAACTTGCAGGTGGCCCTCTGATGAGATCCCCCACAGGCTAGGCACAGGATGAGGTGCTTGGGTGGACCGATGTTTTCTTGTTTGGTTCCTACCTGTGGCCGTCTGTCATTGGAGAGGCGGTGGACGTCGTTGTCATCATTGATGGTTTCCTCTGCTACCACCTCCTCGGAGTGGACGGGAAGTGATGTCAGCTTGGCACTTGGGCCATGGATTTCGGTGGCTGAGTGCGCTGCCAGCTCAGCTCCCAAGGCCTCTTCGACTGCTTGCGCGAGGTTGAGGTCTTTTTTTGCGAGAAGGCGCCTTTGCAGGTGGAGATCCTTGACTCCACAGACTAATTGATCGAGGAGCATGTCCTCGAGGTAGGTTCCAAACCCACAATGCAGTGCTGCTGTTCTGAGGGCGGCCATATACTGATTTATGGTCTCCTTGTCCGATTGTTTCCTCATACGGAAGATGAATCTCCTGGCAATCTGTGAGGGCCTGGGAGAATAGTGGTTAGTGAGGATTTCAAGTAACTCGGACCACGGGACGTTTTTCAACTCACGAGGAGCCACGAGGGCCGTGGCAGTATCGAAAACGGTGGCTCCACAGTAGATCAGGAAATACGATTTTTTCCGATGCTCCCCCGCATCCGCCAGGCCAATTGCATCGATATAATGATTAAAGCGGTTCTTATATGATTCCCACTTCTCCTCGTCTGGTTTGAACGCTGGGAAGACTGGATTGGAATTCATGGTGCTGGGACCGGTAGAACTACCTGTGGGAAAAATCTCTCTGGGGCAGCAGACAATGTTTTAGTGCCTGTGGCAGGCAAGT